CGTTGTTAGTGAAGCCATCGGTACCATTTGATAGTCCATTTGCAATTGCATCACTTACAAAAGTGGACAATAAGGAGGAACGGCGAGAGGAAAAGCCAGGTGAGGAAGAATTGCTGCTATCGTTTAGCATTTCGATTTTCTCACCTTTTTCATGCATTTCTTCAAACGCTTCTCCCGTATATTTAGTTATGCACGATGCTGCTCCGTCAGTATCGGAACAACGAGATTCGTTGAATATCTCGGACGATGGTGGTGAGAGTCCTGATGAAAATGGCAAACGAAAACAGCGAAGGTACGTCCACTTCAAGTTGAAAAACTTTCGAAAAAATCGTGCAAAAACGTGCACACAGAGCTTCTTATCAACGATGTTCTCCTTCAGGTATCGGACGACATTCAGTGCCTATCAATTGGATGAACTTGAAAAAGTCTTCGCACGTACACACTATCCCGATGTTTTCACAAGGTTTGAATTTCTACGTGTTTTTTTTTGTTTTCCTACGGTATATGGAAAAAGTTGTGTTCACTATCTTGTTACTACCGTTGACTTTCGATACTTGAAGAGATCGCTATCCATAGCGCTTTCGTTTTGCCCCATTAAGCTCACTTTGTCGCATTATGTAATAGCGCAAATTGCATGAAACTCTCACATATTGGTGCTGCGAATATGCCTCTAATTGAGTGTCAATTCTTGACTACATTGACAACGCTATAGGGGGCGAGCGCGCGCGTCATAGATAGCGCTCAAGCCGGCCGCAATAGACATTAACTGAGCATCAGCTGAAGACAATGTGACTCACATAGACATATGCAGATGACAAAATTGAAAATTGAGCGGCAGATAATCTGGAAGGTCCTGTTATGATTTTCAATCCCATCGGATCTATGAATAACGCTCCCAGAGAATATGTGCTTCACCAGTAACCCCCGTGCTCATCATAGATCTTCCTCGTCTCATATCTGCTATAATGATAACCCTGTGCCGTGTAATGACGCCATACCCCTCACTAATCATGTTAATATCCGTTGGCAATAGTTTTAATGGAAGATGCTCTTCGACAGAGATCACCCTCCTCCCCTCCCCCTCAGTGAGGAAATCCTTAACAAGAATGACTACTAATTTCCTCGTTTTTCTACCATACGACCCGGTTCATTTCTCGTCTCACATAGCGTTGTTCGAAATTCAACAACAGCTGTCGCTCGTAATCGCCGTGCGATAATGAGCGACATTCGCACGATGCCATCGTCGTCCCATCGTGAAGGGACCGACCAGGATGGTGATTGCGGCGAGTATCGGGGAAAAGACAGGACCATAAGCACCTTTAGGCCATTTTTGGGTACTTAGTTCTTGGTGCGGTGAGAAAGCGCCAGCACGGTGGCAACTCCTGGATCCCCTCCCGCCCTGGCCAAACGTCGGTAAATTAGTACCGATTTCGCCTGAGAGATAAGGCTGAGCAGATAAGAACACCGAACCCTTTTTTTTTTTCCCTTTTCCTCCTGATATACTAACTCAATTTTTTCAACCAGTGTTTTAACCACCCTTTCTCCTATATCTGTCCCCTCCTCACTTAGCCCCTTTCTCCTATAGCTGACCTCTCTCACTTAGTTCGGACTGTGGGAATAAAGTGCTTCGTCCGTGTCGAGATGAAACGGACCACCCATATTTCTGGTACCAACTTTCAATTGATAACTCCTTAGTTTCTTATAAGTGAACATCGGCCCCTCTCCCTCTCCCCTCTCTCCCTCCTCTGCAGGGTACGTCGCCACGTTGGGGATCCCTGGAGAGGGCAGGGGGGAAGGGGGTCATATCTGGTCGCAGGAGGGAGGGAGGTCCGTATCTGCCCTCGAGCAGAATAACTTCGGTATGGTTACTTTCCTCTCGGTTTGGTTTCCTGTTTCAAAAAAGGTTATGATAGCGGGACTGGGACGAGGGGGGGGAGTTTGGTGGGGGGAGGGTCGTTATGATAGGGTACGGGAGAGGATCGCCGAGGGCCATGGTAGGATGCGGAAGGGGTAGGGTGCTTTGATAGGGACTGAACAAGGGAGTTTGCGGGATGAGTCGGACCAGAAGCCAGTAATCTCGAGCTAGGGGTTCTGTGAGAAAACCTCCCAACGACGTGCCCTAATCCGACTGGGCCCCTCAAGTTATTGGGCTACGCATTTAATAGCCACACTGCCACCCCAAATGGAACAAGAAAATGTGCCACTTCCCGGTCAACTCTTGAACAGGTGGATGTGGGTGTCTTGGCAAGGGGCCTGCTTACCGCGTACGCTCAGTCAAAACTCAGATCGGCTCCCTCCAGGCCAATTAGTCGTAAATTAGTACCGTAGTCGCGTCGGAGGGTGAGAACACTGGCTTGTACATTGGGTGGCCCTTGCAACTTCTTTGGGCCATATCTTCTCGAGTAAGCAACTGCCCATCAGATTGGAAGTAGAAAGAAAAGGACCGCTTGCAGGCGCAGAGCTTCCTGCGCAACCTTTAGCCCTGAAGGGGACAAGGCCATCGTCTATATGTCGTGTAATTTCGCGTCATTTTCCTTTCTACATTGGCGTCGTCACAGAAATCGTTTACAAGTCCTTCAAAGCAATTAGCGTAACACGCATACGCATCAAATATCGCTCCGCCGTTTGCGTGCGAGCCTAATTGACTATTGTTGATGACTTGACGACTATTAATTATTGCATTTACCTCGTGAATCAAACGGGGTTGGACACAATTTTGACATGACTACTACTAGTACAATATATAATCCATCTATACACCATTAACAATAGATAAGTACAGCACGATTACAATGTCTTACAAGTAGAACTTGTAAGATGTACGACAATCTAATTTTAGTTCATATAATGAACTTATTTTTGTACTAATCTCGTTGTCGCCTAATAGACATGTAATTCAAGTGATGACGTTCGTGATGAGATAGTAGCGCCATTGAAATCCATTATACCACGCCCCTTTGATGTACTTTTATTACTTACTCGTTCAGGAAACACACAGGAGCCATACCCACGTTGGGGGCTGGGGTAGGAGGGATCATAGCTGAGGGTGGTCTAATTGGGAGAGTGATCGTTCGAAAAGACCCACCGCCACCTGTTAGCAATCAATTAGCGATGCTGCTCAAATCAATTACCGTGCCGCTGTTTGAACACAATCGACTGGACGGACATTAAAATACGATTTGGACACGATGAATACGGTCGATTCAATGAAACACTACATGTAAGGGAGTTGGAGTAAGGGAGTGAAGTTCCAGGGTTGGGCAACCCCTGGAGCAGGGCTAGAGAGATAGGGAAGCAAGACCTAAGAACAGCGTACGCCATGCCCTTGGGTAAAAATTTCGCAAGAAATGACTCCTCTTCGAAATTTCAATCTCTCGCACGACCCCCCCCCCCCCTTCGCTTTACCATCCTACCTCTTTTCCTTGATTCTTGGACTTCCTACCTCTTTTCCGGAGCATGACCCCAGCGATTACCTCTTGTTCCCCGAAAAACTGCTAGCTGGGAAGGTATATAGCGTACGTGAAATCAAGACCAGTCGAAATCCAAAAGTATTTTTCAGTAAGGCAAATGCTGTCCTCCTCCCTTCAGCGACCGTATGCGACCTCCTTCCCCCTTACAGGGAATCCCATACGTGTCCTGCCTGGAAACAAGAGCCACTGTACAAGTTCTAATTTTTGATTCCAACGGAATATTAGGTATCGAATATTGCCCAAAAAAAGAAAGAAAACTTAACTATGCTGATAGGAGTACGATCCTCCGAACATGACCTTGAATAGGGTCCTTTTCCTGCCTCTTGATACTATAGCTATAGATGGTTCCCACACTATCACTCAATCTCCTATTTTCAGAGAAGAATTGGCTCAACGTGTGACTCTGACCGAAGCTCGAGTACAGGTTAGTTATCGATCATTTCTTCGATCATTATCGATCATTTAATCGATCATCATTTCTTACTCACTTTGACAGCTTGACAAATATGAGTAAAAAATGGTGTACCTAGTGATCCTATCACACGTGTACGGTCTTGTTCGCTGGGGATGCTGGGACGTTCCAGGGGCCGGTTTCGGCGCGACGCCAGTCCTTTTTCCACCAAGCTGTGGAAGCTGCAGGCGACCGCAATTGGTGAAAACTGTGTGGTACCGCGTTAAAACACCCCACCCCTGAAATACCCCTGAAATGGCACGAGGTCCACTTACAATATAGGCAGTACCTCTTCAAATGCGAGCAGCGCTCAATTACTAACCTGGGCAAGACTTACTACTAAATCAATTTAGGATCAGCGCCCATTTGGGAGCTCTGAGAGGTTTTATTTTCTTTCTAATGTGAGGCCTATTCCAAGTCCTTACTTCTGAATAATCCATTGACGGTCAGATACGACATTCCCAAGCCTTCATCTCTGCCACAACCCTTGTCAAAGCGGTGTTTGACCTGAACTGCTGAAAAAATTGGGGGTTCTTTTGTGCTCGTGCTTAGTACTCCGAAATGAGCCGAACCCAGGGACGTCATGCCGTTAG